GGGCCGGGGGAGAGCCCCGCCGGGACCCGCCGTGCCCCCGGGCCGGGGGAGAGCCCCGCCGGGACCCGCCGTGCCCCCGGGCCGCAGCGCAGAGCCCCGGCCGCGGGCTGGTCACGAGCCAGAAGGACGCTGGGCTGGACTGTCACGTCTCCAGCAAGGGATGTGGAACAGGCAGATTCAGAGAAGCTGGGGGAGCCGTTGTTAAATTGAGCGTGTTTAAAAGTCGTCTTAAGACGCTGTTTACAGAGTGTCACAGGAAGTACAATTTTTACAGTTCTTCGCAAAACAGAACGAGTAAACCCTAAATCTGACATCTGCTTTTCTTATGCTGGTTGTTAGGGTTAGAAAGAGGGTAGGACCTGTACCCAGTGGATCTCTCCTCAGATTGTCAGTGGCACACATTCCCGACATCAGACTGGGCCTCTGAGCACGGAAGTGTGAGCAAGCAGTGGGGAGAAGAGGTTTAAAGCACCTGTGGTTTGTAGGGGGCTGCTGGGATGAATCCCTTCACCAGCCCCTCCAGAATGGAGTCATACAACTGTACTTCCTCAGCCACTAAAAAGCACTGCGTGCACTCACTGCCTGGAAAAGATCATGGAATTGTAAAGCTTCCGATGGCACAGAAATACAGTAATTGCACTTGAATTTTGGCCTGTGTTTACCAAAGTAAGTGTCAAAGTCCTCTATTATCTTTTTATTATAAATTAACTTTGGTGAGCAGAATATTAAGCAGAGAAAGTTGCAGAAAATGGAAGGAAGGCTCACATTTTTTAGGAAAAGAGGGGAATTAGAAGTTCCACACCCAGCAAAGGTGTTTATATTCTTGGTACTCTGACACCTTTTCCTGTCGTGTCTGGCTGGGGCTAAGGAGCTGGAAAGGAACTTCTGTTTGTGCTGTCAGTACCTCTCCTACACTTTCTAGTGAGCTGGTAGGAGTGGGGGTTCTCCTTTAAGGTTGAAACCTGGCTCCATTTAAATGCTTGGCACATAAAAAGTGACAAATGTGTCTGTTCCTCCTGCCAGGGGCCTCAGCCAGAGATTTCAGGAGTAGGGCAGGACTAGCCCAGGAAATAAGCTAAAGTTCCTAGGTGTGCTTTTTTTCACTGTCAGTACTTACACCTGAATATTCCTGTATTAGGAGTCGGTCTGTAGAAAAATCTGTGGGTTATCTCCAAGTATTTTACAAACAAAAACCAAATAAGAAAATGCAAGGTCTTAAGGCTCTCTTTTTCTTTGGATTGTTCAGTACTTCCACTTAGAAAAAAATATTGGGATGCATAGATTGAAGAGTATTTTGAGCAGTACTTTAGACAAATTAATCCAACATTGTTGCTGATTTACCTTACAGACATTTTTGTCAGCTGCTGAGTCAGGCATACAACTAGAAAATGAAAACATTTGCTTAGAGGGGTTTTTTTGTTTGGTCTCTTAGGGTGTGTGGGGGGTGTGAAGTCGAAGTTGGGCTTTTCCAGTTGGATTGAGATTTCAGAGCAGTCCATCTAATTGGGTGGGTTTGCTCAGCATGCTGTTGGAAACAAAAAATAAGGAGGCATTTTATTACACTTTGGCGAGCCACCTGACAGAGCAGGCAGGTGGGGGGGGGGGGTTGCAGGTTGTACAAGTGTGGCCGAGGTGCAGGTTACAGTGACTGCAGGAGGAGCACTTCAGCTCCCTGCACAGGTCATTCCTGGCCCCTTAGTAAACAAGCCCGTATGTGTGCTGGGTGAGAGGTGCACTGTGGTTCTCATTCTTCTGCCTCAGGCACCTGAGACACGCTGGTTTAAAAGGGTTTTACATAATCTGATGATTGGGATGCCTCAAATCAAGAGATGTTCAGGATGTGTTTAAATAAGTTTGACCTTAGAGAAAGGTCCTTACAAAAGCATGCAGGGGATTCTCTGCTGTTCCAATATCATTGGGAGTTTATGCTGCTCAAGACAGTACCTTCATAAGGAATGCAGGGACTTGTTTTCTGTTTAGCAAATGCTGCAAGAATAAGAAAATCCCCGTTTTTATAAGCTCATCTTTAGTAGTCCCTTCAGAACAAGAGTGTCTACAAAAAGAGTCCCAAGGAGCTTTTGAACACTACTTGCTCCACATCCCCAGTGGCCTAAGGTTCCTTTTTAGTCAGGCTGAGGATAGTATTACGACCCAACAACACTTACTTTGAGATTGAAACAAACATTTTAAGGTTAATTGTGTCAGTGCTCCCTTCTGCTTCAAATGTTCCCATTACAGTTACATAATGTTTCTGAAACGTTTGGAGCCCAAGGATTTTAAGTCTCACTTCCTTTTGATGCATTTTGTTGGCTAAGGGAAAAGATGCACGTTGGGATACAGAGCGTTATGGTCCTGCAAATAACTTTTTTTATTATTTATAAACTTGAGGTTTCCTTGCACCTTAAAGCTGCATTCCCTCAAGTGTCTCACGTGGAGTTTCATACACTGCTGCTTCATCAGCTGCTGGGCCTGGCTGCTGTGAGCTGGGGGCTCCTGGAGGTGTTGGAGCTGAAAGGCCCCGTGGCACAGAGCCAGACGGGGATTTGGCACGTGTAGCACACTAATGGAACTTCACAGCCAAAGCTACCTGTGCTGACCACCTGGATTTTTGTCACAAAGGCAAAATCTGACCAGCATGTATCCAGAATTTCCCCATCAGCTTTATGAAATGTCTGCAGTCTATATTCTTTTAAAAATATGCTCTACTATATGCTGTCTAACTGCTTGAAATTGTGGCATAGTGCTCTCTCTAAAATCTGTCCTTCTTAGCTGGCTAAATCCTAGGGTACAGACTGTAGTTCCCAAAAGTTGGTCTCGTTAATCACTTGAAAGTGTTTAAAAGTTATGTTAATCACTTAATGCACAGTGATTAAAGTCCTATTGATAAAATAATTACTTGAGTGATAGAAAGAATCTGGCAAACAGAACAAATATGTTTGGTAACTGTTATGTCACTGTAAGAAAAGATATTTATAAAATGCTGGAATCAAGATTTTACATAATGATAGGCAAGGACATTCCTAAGTCCAAGTCCATAAATCATGGTTAGTAATAACAAAATTCCTTTTCTTTTAATGAATTACCTCCCGTGAACTGATAAATTAATTATCTTTAATGTCTACTTTATGCGGTAGTATTTTACATAAACTGAATATTTTTGTCCTCAATGCCGTAGTTTTTCTCTCTCAGTATGTGTTTCAGAAAGTGGCAGGAGAGAAGAACAGTTGAAAACACATTCCTTTCATAGAAAATATTTCTTCATGTATCATTGCACTTTTTAATTTCCAAGCTTTTTCAGCCCATATGTTATCAAGATTATTGGCTTTTATTCAGGGCTCATGGCTGTAAACTATATTCCTTTCATAATGGGCCAAAATGTAATGTGTCATTATCTGGCCAAATTGCAAGTAATATAAAGTTATGACTTGTTAACTGTCTTGTCCCCTGACTGTTGATTTAATAATGTTGCTAAACAAATACAGGCAGAGCAATTGGTTATTACATGGCAGTGGTATTATTTGATATCCAGAGGAAGTGGTAGCTCTCTGTCAGCTACTTGGACACATACAAGTCTGGAGCAAATGGAAATACTGCATTCCCAACAAACAAGGATTCCTCATTCTCTGAAAATTGTGTAGGGAAACAGTTGAATGGAGCAGTTCATCCTGACTAAGAATATCACTTTAAATTGAAATACACTGCCATAGAGACGTTGCTTTTGTGAAAAACTGCATAGATGAAGTTGCAAGACTTCCAGTAAGTGTTTTTAGGAGCAAGTGTGATTTGCCAGCCTACAGAAATGTATGTTGCTGTTTGCCGTTTGAGATGACAGGATTCAGACACGGTCAGTTGGTTAAGATTCTTTTAGCACAGCCTTTGTGTCCAGTATTTCACTGCTGGGAGATTTTATGGAAGTTGCTATATTGTCACAAAAGTGACATTTCTATTTTTGTAAAGAAAGATATCAGCTGTAGGATGTACTTACTTATTACTTATGCTGCTTCAGAAGCAAAAGTAAAACTGAACTCCTGTGATACTTTAGAAGAATCAGGAGAGTACTTAATAAATTATGTACGAAGTAAGGGAAGGAGAAATTATTTAATGTGTCTTGAGGCCATCTGTTAAGCATTAACCTTTGACAAACAACATGTTCACCATTGCAAGAAGAATCCACATGACCCATTGGATAATGCTTGTTTATGATGCTCTTTGGTCAACCTGTCACTCACCATTTTCACCACTCTGTTCCTGTAGTTCAAAACCTGCTTTCTGTGGGTCTGACCAGACATCCCAGAATGATCTTCCAGAGACCCACCATAAATGTTACCACCTATTTTCTTTGGTACATCCAGCTGACACATCCTTGTTTCAGTTTTTCTCTCCTGTGCCACGGTGACGGGCCTGGCCCTGTGTCCATGGCACCCTGCCCGTGGGTTCTGGGCAGCAGCTCCCAGGTGTGTCCATCCCTCCTGTGCCTACAGCTCGGGATGCTGCTGCCAGGAATGCTGGCTCCCGTTCAGCTGTCTGCAAGGACCCCCAGGGCCTCTCCAGTACAGCTGCTCCCAGCCACGCACACATCCCGCACCCCTGGCAGGGGCAGTGCCATACACTCCCCGAGGGCTCCTCCCCAACAGGAAAAGATGAGAAAGCAAACAGAAAAAGATGGTCAAGACTTTGTCTAATGTATTTATGGGGATTATATGGAGTCATGAAAAGTCTTACAGGAGATAATAGTTCAGCACTGTGCTGTTCAGTGCCAGCCAGTGCTAAGGGCTCTGCTGTCCAAAAAATTCGAAGCTCAAAGGGGATCAAAATAACCACCTTTTGTAAGTAAATGTGTATTCAATAGTGAAACAATTAGCACAAGAAAGGTGGCTCCTCGTCTTTGTTCACTTGGAGTATTCTGTCCTATTCCTTCTGGACAATGGGTATTTATTCCCTGGTTTTTATCCTGTCCTCACTGGTTACTACTGGTGGTCCCCTTGAAGGCCTGGCACCAATCTTTTGTTTCATAGGTGTTTTTTCTTAGTATCCTCAGATGAATACAACACAGTTCTCCAGCAATCCCAGCTTCTGTCTTTCTCACACCAAAATTGTTGTGAAAGTAATGACAAAATCAGGAATTGCTTCAAAAGGTTACTGAGTGACAGATGTGGCTTCTATCATGTTATTTACAAAGCTGAAGCACTTAAATCGAGGAAATAAATAATTAAGGACTTTGTGTCATATATTGCATGTCATATACTAATACAATAGAATACATGATCACATCTTTTTTGTTAACCTGTGGCTAGTACAGTTCATTTGGTATTTGATTTTAACAGTTAAGTTACACTGAGGGACTTTTGAATGAGAAATACTAAGACTATACTTTTCCCAAGGAATTTGTAATTGTTATTCTTGTCAAGAGTTAAATGCTTGTAAATACAGTGTAACAGAAAGTCTATATAAAAATTTTACTACAAAATGGCTATTTTAAATTATAGTTGTGATTGGTATTTACATATAGTTGTCATGTTTCTTTTTCAATAGAATTTGAAATGAATCTCTGTGCACCTGTTAGAGAAAATAGTGTTTACTTATGATCAGAACTGGTATTTTTGTAATGACTTAAATTATATTTTTTAATCATGCATTAGATTGATCAATGCTATATGGAAATATTTTTCTGGGAGTTTTCTAAAGATGCTGCCAAGCAAACTAGCTATACTTGGCCCTTAGAAATACAACTTGCTTTAAATTAAGTCATCTGGTTTGTAGTACTTGCTGTGTCTGCAGTGTCTATTCTTAATGATTTAAGATAAGACAGTTATTCAAACTTCAAACTGTGACAGGACAGGTTTTCAAGGTTCCAAATTGTGGGAAGCTCTTGCTGACAGTATTACCTTGTCTTGACGTAAACTGTGCCTGTATGTGGGTGATTTTCCCTGGAACAGGGAGCACTCACCTGGCTCCCTCTGCCCACAGAGGTGATGGAACAGGGACAGACACTGTGCCAGCTGCTGTGTGTGTTTGCAAAGAAGGTATCTGCTCAGGGTCTAATACATCCTGGAGCCTCAGCAAGGAGAGCAAAGCCCCACAAACTGAAGATCGTGTAACAAGCTACATGATTCAGAATCCTTACACAAGAGGAGTGACAAGTAGGGGAGCACAAAACTCAGGTGCCTGAGCTTACCTGGAGGATGTGGACTGGGAAGAAAGGTGCTCTTGTTTGCTCTTGGGTGCTGTTTGAGCTCCTGAGAAGGCCAAAATTGTGCTCTCTGCTGTTCCCAGCAGGACTCTGAAGGCTTCAGCAACTTTGTACATTTAGTCCTGTGAACACAAGACACAAATGTTTGAGTTAAATGTGTAGGGGAGTGCTGTGAGATCTCGCTGATGACATTTTGAGGTTGTTCTGTCACTACTATAGAAATTGGGAAGGACCAGAGAAAGACAAATGTACTCATCTTCAGAAAGGGCAAGAAATCCTGGGATGGCTGGTAAGATTCACTTTGGTCCCTGGGAAAATCATGGAGCAATTCTGTCTGAAAGAACTAAGTTTTGACTCCACTTAAAAGCAGTTGGCTTTGTCACCTCCCAAAATCTGTCTCAACCTCAGTGATTCTGTGATTCTCATGGAATGTACTTATACAGAGGTTTTCAAAATCCGGCATACAGCATTAGCTTGCTGAGTCACTCTGCACTTTCGTTTATACCATGTGAAAAGTGTGACCTCAAACAATTTTATTTTTTAATTTGAAAAGTTTCTAACTTGTCTGTATGCACAGAATCACTCAGACCTCTCCCAAGAGTTGAGTAATCATTATTAGCCTTGTTTTGCGCTTGACCTAATCAAGTATTGAGATTTAAAACTATGTAACAGACACAAAGGTCTAGTGGGGAGACTTGAGTGCAGAGATTGTACATAAACCTGTCCTTAACTTCCCTGTCTCCAGTAATTGCTGCTGACTGCTCTGAATCATTATCTGTTCCATTAATAATCATTACTTTGTGGTTTTCTGAGTCCATTACAGTCCCTTCCCCTTCTCTGAGAAAGCTCTTACCAGAACTGAGAAGTCCTTTTTCATTGGATTGATTTCTTTTAATCTGTACCTATATCATTTGGGATCTAAATGCTCGGTTAGCACAGGAAATGAGATCTCATCAGTACAGCCTTTTCCAAAGGGAAAGTTACTGCTCAAAAATGCAGGAGTCAGAAGATAGAAAGAAAATGCTATTGTGCAAAATAAATAAATAAATAAATAAATAAATAATTCCATATTATTTGATGTAAAATATCACTGACACATTATATTGTGTCAGCTCTTTAAAATAAGGAGGTTCAGAGAGAGGGGAAACAATAAATAACAAGTCCACACTTTGGGAGGATTAAAAACCCCAGAAGTATTTGCTTATGCTCTGTCTCATAAGAAGAGATGCAGAGTATAAAGAATGACACAAAAAGACAAACAGTGGTCTCTCATTTATCATTTGGGACAGAGAAGTGAAAGTACAACAGAGGGACTGAAAATATAAAATTTATAAAAGGAAATTCTTTGGTTTTATTGTTTGCTACTATGTGTTGAAGACAAGAGCTTTGAAAGGATTAGAGATTTATATGGAAGACGAGAACATCCACAGTTACTTCAGATTAAAAGATCCTGGAATATAAGCCGTCATATTCCAGGACATTAGACAACCTATAAAACAAGAGGATTGAGAAAGACATTTTCCCTATGAGCAGGATATTGTGTTTGTCCACTCTGAGTTATTTGGCTTCTTCCTCTGGAACATCTAGTACTGAGAACTCAAACCCTGATACTAAACTCATAAATCTTATGCTGCTGGATTTAGACAAAAGTGTGTAAGCAAGCATTTCTTCTTCCTGCCCTGGTGTAATGTCTGTTCTTCCACCTGGAAAAGGACAGGTGACTAGCCTGACTCGACCTTTGACCTTACTGAAACCTAGAATTGCTGGCTTTTCATTTATACACTTTTATCTATATTCTTTGAATTGTCTCATATTTCCTTCTAAAACAGCATCAGTGCTCTCAGGTGATGTGAGCACATCCTGCTCCAGTCGTTCCTGCCCCCGTAGCAGAACTGGCAAACCCACAGCAGTGCCACAGATGATATTCCAGTGAAAAACCACCTGTAGTTTCAGTGACACACCAGATGAACTGGAGTAGCTTTGCTATGGGGGAACATCTTGTTCTGCTGACTGTGCTAGAGGAGGTGACAAAGGGCTAGGGCTGGACACACAAGAGATAATTTCATAATCTGCTACAGAAGAAGCTCACTGCAGGAACACAGTGTGTCCCAACTGATACAGATATAACCTTTCAGCAGCTAAGTTCTCAGCATGTATTACATATGTGTATGTTTATATCACGGTTCTCAAGCATATATTGTCATCATCCTTCAATCACGAACAAAAGACTAGAAAAATGTGGTGCCAGAATTCATTATTTACAGAGGAGAGCGATCTGGGGTGCTGTCCCTGGGTCCAGCAGAGCTGGCTGGCCCGTGTCTCACTGTCCCTGTTTCATCCAGCTGCAGATCTGGGACACGGCCGGCCAGGAGAGGTTCCGCACCATCACGCAGAGTTACTATCGCAGCGCCAACGGGGCCATCCTGGCCTACGACATCAGCAAGAGGGGCTCCTTCCTGTCCATCCCTCGCTGGATCGAGGATGTCAGGAAGTACGCAGGCTCCAACATAGTGCAGTTACTGATTGGTGAGTTGAAAGCATTCACACCAGCACTGCAGCCTACTACTGCTCAATGTAATTGTTTGCAATACTTGTTTAGGGTGGGTAAAAGTTTTATTTCTGGTTGAAGTTAAGACGCAAGCAATAGATCTGATTGGAAATGACCAATTTTTTTTAATTAGAAAGCACTGATTCATCCAAACAGAAATGTTTTGCTTTGATTAACTTATATTAAGAAGTAGCCAGCTTTGAATCCTTTGCACCTCCCACATTTCCAGGTTCTGAGGCACAGCTGCTGTGGAGATGTTCTCATGATAAAGATCCCAAGGTTTTCAGGGCCTGGAGAAGCTCTGTCATAGCAAGCTCTGGAACACCCACACACGCTTCAGCAGACAGGGGATTTTGGAAGGCCTTTGGGGCAGTCAAGGCGTGTCAGTTCTCTGCTGGAAGTTCTGCTTCCCAGCCCCAATGTTTCGGACTCAGATGTGGCTCTCGGGGCCACGTCCATTAGACCTGCTAATGGAACAGCAGTACTATTCTGATTTCCCTAGGGCCCAGCAGACAGCTGCTGCTTTCACAAGATGGTTTCAGCTTTCATTTCTAGCCCATTTTAATTTTGTTAAGGTCTACAGCCCCCACTGTTCAGTTACTTTTTCTGTCCTATGAGTCACACAGAAATACAGGTTGGAAGGGGCTCATGAGATTATGCAGCTCCAACCTCCTGCTCAGAGTGAGGCCAATGGCACGTTGGTGAGGGCCTTTTCAGTCAAATTTTGAAAACCGACATGACTGGAAATCCTGCAGCTTCCCTGGGCAACCAGAGAAGCTCCAGCTACATGCTTCCTGTGGCATAAACAGTCATTATAAATTACTCTGTTGTTTCCTTCCCTCCCAGGAAACAAGTCTGACCTAAGTGACCTTCGAGAGGTTCAGCTGGAAGAGGCCCAGAGCCTGGCTGAACACTATGACAATATCATCTGTGCCATCGAGACCTCTGCGAAGGACTCCAGCAACGTGGAGGAGGCGTTTGTGAAGATGGCCACGGAGCTCATGATGAGGCACGGCGGGCCCATGTTCAGTGAGAAGAACACTGACAGCATCAAGCTGGACAGCAAAGACGTTGTGGAAGGCTGGGGGTGTGGTTGCTGATAAGAGCTAGGTGATATCCCTGACTTTACCGGAATTTAGATGGTGCTTCACCCTAATGCTGAGTAGCATGGTAGCCATACTCTCCTCCTCCTGTGAAACCAGCAATTTTGTAGAAGTTAGACACAATCCTGTTTGCTTTGGTGTCTTATTTTTAAAAAGGGACTTTTGAGAGGTAGTCCTGAAAGTCAAACCCTCTGAAAAACTTACTTAACATTTGTCCCCACTGTTTTATTTTCTGTAACCTTCATACGAGTTACAAAAATGGTGGAAACAGCTTTGAACAGGTGATGTGGGGTGGGGAGACAGGTGGCTGGGGAAGAGACATGCAAAGCCAAAGTTCTGAAACATTTAGCACGGGACTGTTGGCAAAGGAGGTCCCTTTTGAAAAAAGCAATCTTGACAGTGTCTCTTGAAATCCTCAGCACTCCACTAGTGACCAAAAAGTGATGATGTCTTTGATAAAGGTATTTCAAGTGTCATAATCCCCAGCATTTTGATTACAGGACCAAATAGCAGGTATCTGTCCTAGGGCGTAGACTGCTAGTTACTGTGGAACAGGCCCAGGTGGGGAAGCCTTCTCTCAGGTTTTGTGATGATTTTAAGTTATCATTTTAACAGAAGCAAAATCAGCCCGAGCAATACCATGACTTACTGTCAAGCAGGATTGGACTAGGGTAGTTATTTCCATACAGCCTTGAGGAGAGGGTAGATGCATTTCATTTGTTATTGTTTGCACAGTGATAGCTCCTTTTTCCTAGTGGGTATCACTGAGGTTTTGCCCTCAGGTCTCATAATTTCATTTCACAGTTCAAGACCTGCACCACTGGAAACAGGAACTGGAGAAACCTTGAGCTGACTGTAGCCACGACCTCTTGCCATGTGCCTAATGGTCATTTACAGGGTTAATTCTGGTCATACATTTGACATTATGTTACCAGAGCGTTCATTGCTTAAGTGACATAAGTGGATTTGATTTTTGTATTGGTTTTGTTTTTTAAACCATCTCTTTAAATACCAGATGGGCATATAATGGGAAAGAAGAGCTCGGAGTAGCTGTAAACTGCATACATTGCAACTTCTTAGCTGTGAGAAACCAGCGTCTTTTCGAGTGATTCCCTCCCAACTTTGAACTCAAATGTTTCCCTCTCCCTATCACAAGTTACCAGTTGCTTTTCATTTCATGAAAACATTCATCAGGAAAAATCTTTCATTGTTGATCAAAAGTCTGCATTGTTAAGTAAAGTTGATTTAATACTCCAGCTACACTCAGTTCTTTCAGATTTGGCTCTGTAGGGTGTGGCAGGTGCAGTTGAAGTACTGATGGCAGCATCCTCTGGGTTTACACTCAGGCACCTTACAAAAAGGGAGCAGGAGCAGGAAGATTTTTAACTCTGCCAGTAAAGCAGTGGTGTTCAGGGATGGCAAGTGATCTTCGCAATCCTGATAAGATGAAGGAGCTCATTTTCAGAAAACA